GTGAGAACTGGTTTTCAGTTAATTTACCTAGTAAAATAAAGTTTAAATAAACTACATAAATGCTCTAACAGTACACGTTAGTGGCTTATTTATTGTTAGTTACTGTAATGTTGCGCTGCTTTATTTGTTTAATCGTCCAGTCTGTGAAGAAGGCATTCAAGTAAGAATTGCATTGTACTCTGTACATGACAATGATAACCTTGAATCCTTGAAATACATGTGTTTGATCTTTTTCCTGACAGCTATCTTTTTACACAGAGCCACAATACACAATAGTTTTATGCTAACAGTTTGCAGACTGCAACATGCTTGTATCAGGAGTTGGTTATTGTAAAAGGTGATATTTGTATAGATTTATCTACACCCTTCTTGCAGTGCTGCCATTGCAGTCAGGTCTCGCACACTATGAGGAGTAGAAGTTGTCCGACTTGGCTGCAGTCAGTTTATACTCCACCCCTGTAGCGGCTGGCAGATCGCGTTCCACGTTGCATCAGCTGCAGACAGACCTAAGCCCAAGTCGAACGCACCCATTGCTTCTTTAGGGGAGGATGGGCAAAATTACAACGTCGTCGGTGATTGGCTGATCTGCTGGCGTTCAGTAAACCTCTGCTCGATAGGCCATCGAGTTGTCTGTCTCAGCGCATTCTCTAAAACGGAGCAAACCTGGTTGATCGAGTTTTATAGTCTGTGTGTATCATCGTGATCGTCCTCATTTTTTATCGATAAAAAATCGAGATCGTCTTATCGCCCAGCACTAACTGGAAGTATGAACAATAGTTTGGGAGTGGCTATTTGCACACAGTGCGCTGCTTTAAAGAGGTCACAGGGGCTGTTTCACAATCTGACAAGCTTGTTGTGCATATAGTCCGTGACTGAGGCTTGAAAACGGATAGATGGCTCTTGAATTGTACTGAAATCTATGCCTGAGATACAACTTATAACCACTAACATTTTAAAGTGTTCAAGTATTTATGTCACTGTGTTAGTCCCACCAAAATCTATCTAGTTCTAGATCTAGTTGTTCTAGGGCACCACTGGCTCAGAATCCATGACCATTTCATCTTCTGGAAGCAATAGGAATTATTGGCTTACTGGGAATCTGGTATCACTGCAAGTGTTTTGGCATTTCGTGTTTAGCTACCTCCATCAAGAACCAAAATAATACTCAGTATAATTCCCCTAGAGTACCAGCAATATAAAGATGTCTTCAGTAAAACAAATGCAGCCTCTCTCTCAATTGGGACTGTGCCATGAACTTGCTCACTGGTAGTTGTCCCCTGCATAGGACGGTCTATCCATTATTGCTCCCAGAACCAGAAGTCATGGACCAGAACATCAAGGAGGTCCTCACCTTTGGAAGTCTGTACCTACTTGTCCCTCCCACTGCTGTAGGTTCTTTTTTAGGATGGTGGAGTTTGGCACAGCATACATTATCATGTTCTAAACTATATAACTATTGAGTAATTACCCTTTTTTCCTCTTGATCCCTGCTGCTTTGGAATATGTCTGGACTGTAACCATCTTCACAGAGTTAGACTTCTGCAAAGCCTGAAATCTCATCAGAATTCATGAAGGGTATGACAGCATTTATCACCACTAATTGGAACTATGACAATTTACTTATGCTGTGCATTCTCACTAACGCCCCCCTGTGTTCCAGTCATTTATGAATCAGGTGTTCTAAGCTGTAGTGAATAAATAGTAATCAACTCCCCTAACATGGCTGCCCACCAGGATCATGTAAACCCGGTTCTTCAGAGAAAGCAACCCTGAAAACCGTGAGTTTCATAGAACCACCATCTCTTTCCTAGGCTACAACTTAAGGCAGGCAGAGTTTGCCTAGATGATAATAAAGTATCTGCTTGGTGCTACTGGCCTAAACACGGAACTTTCATGGACCTGCAGGGCTTCCTCAGCTCTGCAGATTTGCACTGTAGTTATCATGTAAAGCTTCAATAGAGTTTCCACACCATTAACCTCCCTCATCTGTAAGGCTGCAAAAAGGAATACTGTATGTGGAGCGACTCAGCACAGATTTTCAAGAGCTCAAGACTTTTTATAACCTCAGCACCACTTCCCCTCAAAAGAAAGTTAGCCTCATATGGTACTGTGCAAAAGTTTAAGGCAGTCAAACAATGATGAGTAAATGATCTTTATGTTGGTGTAAAACTATGATGTCTGTCATAATGTGTTAGTATAGTCATTTCAAAACCTGCCCTACAGACACCTCAGTATTTGCACTTACCACAGATATACCCATGTGTTTTTTTACTCAACCATTAACACATCTTGTGTATCTAATCGGTACCTCATTGAGTTAGTTAACTAACTTAATTGAGTATGCAGTGAAAGTTAACAAATAAACAGAATGGCTGAGGCACACTTAAAGAGAGGTTTAGGAGTTGGGGACCCCTGGCCTAAGGCATTTGAACGGTGCCGTGTATTGATTCCTTTTAAATCATTAAGCACTTTAACCCTCTAAGCAGCTGTTTGCAGTTATCCGCCATTTTTAAATTTCTCCTTTCCATGTCTCCTAGTTAAAGTTAAAGCTGGTGTATACTCATTTGTTCTATGCTGGCTGAGTTACCTCATCCTCTAGGTGTTAGTGGTGAACCTGCATATTATGTCCATGCCCTGTTATATTATAGGCACCATTGGGGTCAGCTGCAATAGCTATGTGACTGAGAGTGCTACACGTCATCATTCCCTCCTTGTGACATCCTTGACCTTTACTCATTGAGGACTTCAACCACTCTTATCCAGATCATCCTGCCCTTTGCTGTCGAGGGGGGTGTACTGTCACACATTTGTTTAGCCAAGCTTACTGTACATTCAGTCACACACACACACACTCTCACTCTCACTGATCACACTCCACCTCAGCAGACTATCAGCAAACCTGTAGCTCATGAGCTTGTTTTGTTTTGAGTTATCCCTTGGTCTGGTCGTGTGTAATTTCATTTTTGTGCCTTGGCTCTCATTTTTTTCTGTCTTTGTATCATGTCTAAAGCTTGCTGGTTGTGCGTTTGTCTATGTATTACACTTACTGGCCTTTATGTAGCCTATGGATTTGGTTTTCTTCATCTACCGTTATCTGTCCCACAATCTGATGCCTGTGTTTTTGACCACATCTTTTTCAGACTGCAATTAAGAATTAAGCCATGTCCTTCCCACAAGTGGATCCTCTCTCATTAAAAGATAATGGCTGATTTAATCATGGGCAGGTAAAAGCAGACCATTTGAAGTTAGGTAGCAGAAATTCTGATAACTCCATGCCACATTTTTTCTTAGATAACACTGCTTAAATTCCACGAATAGTCAGAAGGGATCAAAAATATTACCATCATTGTTTTACTTTTAGTTTTATTATTAATTATTATAATTAAAACAAAAATAGGTACTGCAGCAGTCAAACTTAAGAAGCATTCGTCCTCAAGTTCATTACATTTATTGATAGATGTATTTGGTAAATAAAGGCTGAAGTATGGGGTAAACAGAGGGTTATGTAAAACGAAGTACTGAATAAACAAGCAAAACACGGGGTGAATCACTCCGTGATACTAAAAAAGAAGTAGATTCCAGAAAAACTGAGATGGGCAACATATTTGGCTGGCTGAAGGAAACTTAACTGGTCTCTTAACAACAAAAACAATGTTTTTTGATTCATTTTAATGCTGAGAAGTGCACAGGGCAAAACTGTGATGAAGAAGCATGTGTGAGGTCAAAGATTTGAAAAATCCATCTGTTTCTGAAATGAGAGAAAGGACTAAAGGACTAAGAATTTTACTTCAAATGGTTATACCTCTTTGACACCAATACCAAGTCACAACCAGCTTAGTGACTTGGAATCGTGATGACTTACATCTCAAAACTCACGCACAGCAAATCACACTCAGTTTGTATTCAGTATAAATGTTTTTTCATTGGAGGGTAATGTGAAGATTAATTAACTCCAGTCATCCTCAGTGGCATATTGACAGATTTCTTTCCTGTGACAGCTGGTGGCTTTTATCTTCTACTTCTACTTCAGTTTGTTCATGCTTGGATGAAAACAGTGGTGGAACAAGGGCAATGTGACATTCATTAGGCTATTAATGGAAAACTTAGCTCATCATAGTATTTTACTATATTGACTATTTGGCATTTGTATATATGCAAGCAATGAAGGACAGAATTTTCTGCCAACACCAAGGAAAGGTGTAATGTTTAAGTGGACAGTATAAAAACTAGACAATAGTATAGAGAGAGAATGACCTCAGAAGATATTGAACCAGCCCTCATATTTTTGCCCTTGTCATTAACAAACTATGACTCGGAGACTCGAGAATTATTGCTTTGTGGTTTCTGCAAGACGCCGAAAAGAAGTTTCAGATGAACAGCGGGGACTCACACCAAGATCAAACCAAGACTTTCAAAATCAAAATCATGCCATGGTGACTCTGATCCTCTCAAATTCAGAAACGCGGTTGGTTTTGAAAGTCATAAACTGTCCATCTCTATACGGACGGCTGACACGAAAACTCCCCAAAGAAATCAGACATGGGACAGATCCAAAACAACAGAAGATGAAGGTGCATAGCAAAGAGCCAAACCACATACGATACATTAGATCATGTCTGAGGACTGCCTGAAGCAAAGAGTTGTGGCAGGACATGCATAGCTTCTTCTGTAACTGTTGTAAATGCAGTCAAAATGTCACAAAGCAGTTTAGTCAGAGGTTGTCAAAAATGGCCTTTTTTAAATAAAATAAAAATATTGCAAAATACTGTGTCTGTTTTTCAAATATGTTTTTGGTATTTGCAATAGATGTTGGTTACAAAACAAATCAGGAAAATGGTGAATGTGAGGCTGCTATGGGTTTGACAGTGTTACCGGCCTTTTACCGAAGTTACAGTATGTTGGGCTCTCGTCTCATCTTGCCATCCATGGAGCGTTGCTGTGTGGTGTTGGTTGCTAATGGGTGTCTATTGTTTCCCTTTGTCTAGGATCACTACAGCGGGACTATGACACAGCTGAAACCCTGCCCGTACCTGGGCCGAAGCGAAGCCCGAACAGCGACACGGGCAACCGCACCATCCCCCTGGGAGAGTCTCAGAAAGCAGCCCTGAAGAAGAGCATCTCCGTGGATGACCGCCTGTTACAGCAGCAGCAAAGGGAGAGACACAACCTGCTCACTCGCTTGGAAAGAGGCAAGATCAAGCTGAGGAACTTACATGTGAGTATCGCTATTCTTCTTCTTCACATCAGGTGGCTGGGGATAAATGGTTTTCTAACAACGCTAGAGAAGCTAGCATGTGCTTTGTCATGGGTTAAAGGGCAGTTTTGTCTTTAAGAAACAGCTTTTCATTTCTGTTTCACATTCTGTTTCTTATGGATAGATATGTCATGAAAATAACATTTCATAGTTTTCTGGATCTTTCAAAAACATTTTTTTTTCAGAAGAATATAGCGTAAACCGTAAAACTGCATCGAGACGTGTCGTAACTGGAAATCTTAGCTTTAAGTGAGACTGCATTCATATGCCGCGTAAGTGAGTTACAAGTGCTCAGTATACAAAATGTAATGCTACTTTTTAAGTATATTGAAAACTGCACCACATTAATCAACAGTTTGTGCCGCACAACGCAGGGTTTCCCTCAGCACTTTATGGACTTGGTGGTCGGCCAGACCTGAAATTTATACGGCCAGGACAACATTTTAAATGAACAAGCACCTCTTAGTTTTCTATTGAACGTAAACAGCTGAATTTATAAGGTAGTACTAGTGGAATTTGAAATTTTGTTATATTAGGAAACCTTGCCACTGAACAGATTGTTTTTTGTTTTCTTATTTGTTTTTTTATTATTATTTTTTAGTATATAGATATGATAGTCCGTGAACCTTACATGTAGAAATAAATACAAAAAGGCGCAGGAAGTGAGAGTTCAAAAAGATTCACCTGATGCTTGTGCGTTTTTGTTTCGCTTAATCTTTTGATCAGTGCACTAAACATCAGGGGGAGAAAACCATCAATACATCGCAGAGCACGGAACAAACAAACAAATAAATAAAGGTCATGTTCATTGAATAAACCAACTGGTGCAGAATAAAGCATATAATTGCATATTTGAAGCTGCAATCACCCCTTATGCCAAAGTCTGTCAGTCTGACTGTGAATGTGCAGTCAGTACAATATTGGCATATTTGTGTTTTCCAGACATCTGCCGTGCATTAACATCTTCCCAGGAGCCTCACTGCCCAAAGAAATGATGAGAATAATATGGGAAAACAAGTTTGCCATATATGTCTTATGGATGGATTATGATATACCTCTGAGAAAAAAAAAGTCCTTTAATGCCATTTAAGTTCCCGAAACAATTAACCATAAAAGCTATTTTACTGGATGCATATGCATAATATTCCCAATCAGATTAATAACTTTGGCATTTTATATGCTTGGAGGAGATAAAAGTTCCTGTTAGCCACAGAGTAGGATTGTGGCATTTATTTGTTTTATTTAGTTTCTTTCTTATTTGAAGTGTCCTTTTCACTTATAAATGTAATGAATAAAAAGAGCACACCATTACCAACAAAGCCATTTGATTACACTTTAATAATTTTTAAGATGAAACTTTTTCCAGAGAGAATACATTGGATGAGTCATTCTGCCCATAAACTTACCAGTAAAAATGAAACACGATTAATAAAGATCAGTAAAAAGATGATGTCATCTGTTTTGCTGTTTAGATATTAGATATTAAGGAGATATATATAATATAGGGGCAAATTACTAATTTTTCTTGTTTAGAATGTAGTATTGTAGGTTGTAAGTGATGGTAGACATGTTGCCTTAAAGCTTCAGGGTTTCCCTATGTGAAGCTTACATGGTACTCCTGAATTCTCTGGTTAGGTTTAGGTTTTGCAGTTTACCTGGATCAATCTCTCCAGATTGACATTAGCATGTGTGTGTGTGTGAGTGATGGCCAAGAACTCTACCACCAGTGGTTCCTGCCTGGTGCTCCTAGGTATTATCTCGAGGTGTTTGAAACTGTTCTTTTATATATAAAACATTCTACATGTACATTATGCCTTTGAAAATTTATGTTGTTTCATAGACTTCTTCTGTATTATTTCAGAAGAGTTATGTAGGACATAACTAAATCAATACTGAAGTACCCTACCTAAAAGCCTGAATGATCTTGGAAATAGCTCTGGTTTACTTGGGGATGGAAAATGTGAAAAATAAAATGCACTCTGGTGATTCAGTGCTCCTACAAAAACTTTAAAGGGGTTCCTGTAAATAAGACTGGCTGCCGATATATTGCAGACTTTAAAAATCACGTGGGCCCCTTTGAGAAAGAGTAGTGGTGTTTTATTGGCCTCTTGGCTAAATCTGATCACCCAGTATGCCCTCTGAAATGCATTTTGAAGAACAAATGCAGCATTACAGTGACTGGTCAAGACTGCATGCAGAATACATTGTATCAACATTGTATTTTCCGTGATGCCGAGTGGTAATTACTGTGGCTCCTAGGGTACTTCTTTGTATGCTAGTTTTTGGCAAAATCTGATTTTAATAAAGTTTGATTTTGACATAGCAACTGCTAAAAATTATAAGGGCCTTAAAGATGAACATTAGACCATTAGACATTGTGACCATTAGTAAAAGTGTGTATGTAATGACACTGACAACTCAAGGGTATTGATTGTTGTACGTCACACATTTAGCTTATACACAAAAACACAACAGGTTTCCTTTCATAAAAATATCTTTATTGTAAGAAAGTCATCAAGTCCACCCATCCATCCATCCATCATCTTCCGCTTGTCCGGGGTTCGGGTCGCGGGGGTAGCACATTTAAAAACAACAGGAGTTGACCCAAAGTGCTTTCCAGTCAAGGAAATAAAGGATTAACAAGTACTAAATACATAATATATAAATACCAAAAGCAGATACCAACCTATTTAAATAAAGGTTGTACTTTGCTTAGCATGATGTTACGCAATGTCTCCACACAGATGCCTTTCGGCGTAATGCCTTCTTTAGTGCCAAAATGCATCTGTGTGGAGACATTGAATAAAATCGTATTAAGCAAAGTGCGACCTCTTCTTTTGTTATTTGATTTATTCTTTTCTGTGGTCCAGCACTCTGATTAGATGTTATATCATTAGGAGTGAAGTCCATTTCTCTAGACTTTGCCAATCCTTTCAAGGCAGACAAAACAGTACCGTTGTTAACAGGCCAGCTATTCGGACTATGTACTGTAGATATTTTTGCGTAAAAAAGTGCAACTACTTATTTTACACTTGAGCTATTTTAAGAGAGCACAAAAGTCAAAGACACTATTGCATGTAGCACAAAAACTTGTTTAGGGA